AGAGTAGAGTGTAGCCATGTGATTTTATATAATGATCGGCGAGGATAAAATAATTCTTTTAAATCACTTGCCAATCATAAAAAAAAATTTTTGTTGTTAGGTTATTTCAAAAAAAGTTAAAGACAATAGTAATAGTAAATTTTCTATTTAATATTAAAATAAATATAAATAATAGATTTTAAATGAATAATAACCACATTATTAAATACCAAAAGAAAAATTTTAATTCTTTGCTAATGATCAAGGTTTACTCGTGTAATTTGGATCATTAAAAACATTTAAAAAATAGCAGGATTTTTCCAAATTTGGAGATCGCTTCTAGAAATTTTTGTTGATCAATTCATATACGCTACAAATGAGTAGAAAACGCCTACACCCCCCGTTATGTTATGTCGTTTTTTTTATATAAAACTTTAAAAAATAACTGTTAAATAATATTCTTTTGGAGATATAGTTTCATAATTCCCACTAATCTCCAAAGCTTTACAAAATAGTTTTTTCAGAAATAAAACTTGAAAAAGTAAATGCATGTCTGCCATGTAAAATTTTACTCCGTGATTAGTTCAGTGTTTTCCGTTATTAAACTCAGTTTTTTCCGTTTATATTAATAAATTAAAATATTAATATACATTTCCGTGTTTTTTTCCATAATAATAATAATAAATGTATCGTATGGAATCCATAGTTCCGTTTTTTCATTAAAAATACTATGGCACTTGAGCGTTTTTTATATGTGGAATTTTTATGGGGGAAAGGATATAAGTATTGAGTCTTGGAATAAATTCTGGGATAAAAATTTTGTGGAGCGTTTTGGTTTACCTGAACCTCGAAAGCATTTCTTGCGATTGTCTCAATTTCGCAAGCAAGGTTATGATGAAAACAGTGCAATAGAAGGATTAAAGGCCAAGGACATTGTGCAATGGGAAGATACTTGTTATAACACTAAAGATAATTTCGAGGATTCAGTAGCAAAGGACATACGTAAAACATATTCGGCAAATTATTGGGAAGCTATACAGGAGCTTTCCCAATCATTGGGTTTTACTGGTATAGATGATGAACGAATTCTCTATGATGATCAAGTGAAAGTTGCATTTGATCTCGTGAAAGGTTTATAGAACTTCGAAATCAATCTTTATTGCTCTTTGGCTTTAAGTCTCGTGCAAAAGAAATGCCGGATCTTAAATCAGCTATAAAGGCAATTAATGCAATTGCTGGCAACTATTGCGGTTATACTATAAAAGCTAACGAAAATTGATGGGAACTAAAGGACAACAGATTTGGAAATATTCATACCAAATTGACCGAAATCCATATAAAGGACTTGGTTTTGATAATAAAGATGAAATAACTAGGTATTCACGCGATCCTATAACTCCAGTTCTTCCACCATATAAGCCAAAGATGACTGATGAGGTTCAGAATCTTTTCGATTCCATACCTATTACCAATAAAACTGCTTCAGAATGTGCACAGAATCTCTGACTTATCTAATAATGTGATTTATGAAAATTCTTTATCCTTGGAGGTACCAGCTCAAAATCATCCAATTGATCCAGATAGAATGGAATGTCTCCATCAATATGCTATTGAGCTTGGGGAGGATTCAAAACAATTTTCGGTCGTTACTGAGTCCGAGAAAAAAATGCGGGATGAAAAATGTTTCCGTGATAAATTGGAAAGAGATATGCGTTTTTATCGTTATGCTGTAAAGGAAGGATTAGATCCTAAAAAATGCTCGAAATTAACAGATCGGGATAGGTTAACTGGCGGAGATTTATTGCATCGCGGTATACTAGAAAGTGGATTAAGTACCGCATGGCTTGATGAACTCATGAAGGAATGGGAAAAAACCATATCTAATGCATGAAGAGCACTTTCTCGAAAAGATGTATCAATGGCATATTTTAGTAATATACCTCTGACAGGGGATATACTGCTACAATTAGGCGAATATTTATTAACTAGGAGAGGAGAGATTGTAACATTCAGCTAGTTATTCATCCCAGGTAAGAGGATTTTTGTGCCTCTTACAATAAATGTGGGAAAAAATTCAGATTGCAAAATAATTGCGGGAAAATAATACCAAAGGTACCTGGACCATGGGGATTTTTGTGTCGGGTAATTTTTATCAAAGTAAAAATTCAGATAAGAGGTAATATAAAGAAGAGATAAAGAAAAATTTGTGCTTTTACATATTACCAAGTGGAGATAACAATTCGGCACTATGTGCCTCATCCTTGCATTCAAATGCAATGCACAAAGCAAATTACAGATTGCAAACAATTGTTCTTAGACGAGAACGGCACAGAAAATTGAGTTACATTCCGCCTTCGAGATTGCTTTTCCTGAAGTGTTACATAAAGTTGATCGTGAAAAATGGTTCACGATAGAGTCATGTTTGTTACATTTTGGAAGCTGAATGCAGAGTATGAATACACATTTTTACCGTCCGATTAAACGTCCGATTAAACACCTGATTCAACAGCCGATTTAACATCAAATGACAACATAAATGTGGCCAAAAACGTGCAATCGAATGACGCCATACAAGTGAATGCATTGTCGAGTCGCATATGAATACTATTTTTTTACGTGGTCGGAAATTAAAAATTGGCCACATACAAATTTCTAGACTATAATTAACTCATCCGGATGGCTAAAAATTAAAAATTGGCCGCACTCAAATGTGGTCAAAAAAACGAAATAGGTCACATAGGTAGGTAACAGTCTAACGTAAGTAGGTCACAATATATATATATTGTGACCTACCACAGGTTTTTTTCATTTTTGATGTCTACAGGGAATAATTTTTTTCTCTTTTTTCTTTCAACTTGTTGCATAAAATTTTGTCACTATGTGATAAACGAATGTCCATTATGCTATCTGGCTATAAAGGTGAACGGAAAATAATGTAGGAAGACTTCTTTCCAGTCAATCTGATTGTATTCGAAATTCTTACAGACCTCATTGACTATCTCAACGACAATAATCCATCTGACTGGTCTTTTTTGGACTTCCCTTCTACAAATTTCGATATGATCGTCAATCACCACCAGTCACCAAATGATATCAAGGGTCTTGTTAGTACTTGTTTTAATCGTTTAATTTCATTAGAAAGGCATATCCTGTCAGATTACTACCTGAAACATGGAGTATGAGTAATTTACTCGCCGAATGCGAGGGTTTAAAATTTTGCTAGATTACTACCTGAATCATGTGCATTTTCTTATAATGCTTTCTACCAATAAAATCATGTGCGAATAAATCTATAATTCTAATGTTCCATTTAAATTCACAAAGGTCATCATGAATTTTTATCAGGTGATTTCTCAATTAGAGATAGGTGTTGTATGCTAACTCTGCTAATCCCAGTTTATCTTTTTATTAACAATATTGACATCAATAGATCGAAAGATAGCAATGTCAAAGGCATTTATAGATCTGAAATGATTTTGTTACTGAAATTTTCCAACAATTTCAATGTGCTCATTCATAATTAGTCCAAAGTCAAGAATGTTGCGGATGAACAAGGTATCAACCTTGTAGGGTCCATGGATTAATATCAAGTATTTTGGATATGATTTTGTTTGCATCCTGACATTATGAACGGTTAAGAGAGTGCAGCTGTTGATCACTATGAATTCGTTGTTTGACATCAGATATCACCGAGTCTTATAAATGCTCAAAAATTGGATCCAAAACTTTTAAACGAGAATTGAGTGACAATTAGTGGTTGTATCCGCCGAATGATATTAATCAATTATTTAGATTAATCAGGTGTTGAAAATTTTTGATTGATTAATTGGGTGTTGAGAGTTTTCACCGGACAATTATAGATGAGGTCATTTATCATTAATATGCTATTATGTTGTAAGTTTTAGAGTTAAACAACATAGTACACAGTAAATCTCAGTTTAACGGATAGTTTGGGCAATTAGTATTGGGGGAATTTTTCCAAAAATCCGTTAAACTGAGAAATCCACTATACCAAGAAGGTTTTTATTAAGGTTTATTGTGGAACCGTTCTTGAATTTTTATCCGTAAAACCGAGATTTTAATCAGTATTAGTATCGCTACATCGAGATTCGCTGCGTAATACTAAAAAAAGAACTCAATGTGTAAAATTACCAAATTTAGAAAAATTGCCGACATATTAATATTACAAAAATTCTTACAAATAATTCTGATCCAACATTGAAAAAATTTTCAACCATCAATTTCTTGGATAAGACATAATCGAAGAGATTTTTTATTAAAAAAAGATTATTAAAATTGTTTAAATTAACTAATTGGTCTTATATAAAAAAATCTATACACATTCCCGAAATTTTTGAGAGCGCGTAACAAATTTTTGCGAAATTTACTTCCATCATTACAAAAAAAAAGGTCAACATTTATTCAAAAATAGGTATTATTTACTTTGCGTTAATGATGTTTTGATTTGCTTGGTTGTCTTCTTTGATTAATTTGTTGGTTTCAAATATTAATCAAAATTATTAAAAAATTACTTATTTTTTCAATGACAATCAATAATAATAAATAAATAAAATTTATAATAATCATAGGTATAATAGATTAAAAAATAGCTGTAGCAGCAGTAATAATAATAATATTATTATTATTACTATTTTATATATATAAGAATTTACAAATTACAAGGTAATATTTATTGCGTACGACTTAAGATATATATATATATATATATATTTATATATATAAATCTAATTAAATCATAAGCTTAAAAATATCAAAGTGAACCAAGTCTTTTATCTTTTTCCTCTTTAATTAAACCTTCAAATGCGGGTTCTACCACCGGGTTTGTTACCCCCCATAAATCACAAAAATCTTTTGCCAAATCAGCAGGTTCATCGTTGACATGAACACAGATTGCTTGAGTATGACCATCCTCGAATTCCACGTTTATTGTTAATAGGATTTGACCACGATCATGTTTATCAACACGTTTTGGATTAGTGGGGTAATTCTGTTCTAATACTGGATCAAGCATTGAACATGAGTCATAATAATAATCTTGTTCCTGATTAACATAATTATTATTATTTTCTTGATTAAAATTATTACAATAATTATCATTTTCTCCAAGTTTGGTTATCTGCATTCCATTATTATTATTATTAGAAGAAAGAGGAGGATGACGAAGGAATGGTTGTGGTGGTAGTAATGATGATGGTTGTGGTGGTGGTTGATTCCGATGTGTGGTTGAATCAAATCCTGGAGGAATTAATGCTATATTATTATTATCATTAGTTGATTTATTTGTAATAGGTTGTAGAACTGGCGAAGAAGGATTTTTATCAGATTGTGAATTTAGAGAGCTTGAAGGTATTGTAGTTAAATTATTATGATTATCATAATTGCTATCATTGTTATTGTTATTGCGGTTTTCTTTATTGCTTTTATCATTATCATTTCTATCATTAGTATTATTATTTTTAATACTATTATCATTCCTGTTATTTTTAACATTATCATCACCTTTGACATGATCGTTGTTATCATATTCTAAATTGATTAGAGCTGGTAAGCATCAAAAAAAGTTTTTATCTATTTTACACACATATATTTGATATATATATATTTATTAATTCTTATTTGCTCCTAAAAAAAAAAGCTTGGCAAGATGATGCATCCTTACGACCATGTCTTTACTTATTATTCTTAGAACTTGATGAATTATCAAAAAATAATCCAATATCAAAAGAAAAATCATCTATGCTAGAGCCTCAAAAATATAATGATAATGATGAAGTAATAGAAATAATTTATTATGATGGTGATGGTGAGAATGATGATGATAAGAAAAAAAATAACGATGAAGATAAAAAATATGAGCCACCACAACCTCCCGTTACTAATAAGGATTCAAATCTCGATATTGTTCCAACTGTAAATTCATCATTGATGATGACCCTTGATGAAGGTATCAAGGCTCATGAAAATGGTGATTTTCTAAAGGCATGGGAATGTTTTAATTCACATCATATGATTGGTAATAAACTAGAAGCAACTTACTGGAGAGGTCATTATTTGTATGAAGGTTATCATGGTGAAATAAATATTAACGAAGCAATTGATCTTTTTAAATTGGCAGCAGATCAAGGTATTCCAGATGCACAATTTTCATATGCAAAATCTTTAATTGAAAACTATGATGATGATTATTATGGTGGTGGTTGTGGTAGTAGTAGTAGCAGCAGCAGCAGCAGCAGTAGTAGCAGTAGCAGCAGTAGTAGCAGCAGTAGAAATCCATTAAATTCTAAAGATAAAGATATTTTAAATTATTTGGAATTGGCTGCACATGGTGGTGGTGTTTCTTCTGCCTTTTATATATTAGGAAATATTTATTTATATGGAAAACATAATGTTCAAATAGATAGAGATCTTGCAATTCAATATTTGAAATTGGCTGCTTTGAAAAATCATCAAGATGCTACTGATTTATTAAACCAATTAAAAATTAAACTATTTTAAATTTTTTTTTTTGTATTTATAGATTGTATTTTTAATGATTCACATGTAAATAAACAAAATAAATCACCATATTATTAAAAACATGTAAATATTAACATATTATAATTGACACAGAACTCGAATTCGGCTTTATGACTAGAATTTGACTAGAATTAAATATGATCATTCCTTAAAAAAGCAGTTCAATATTGATATACATTAAGAAGAAAAAAATTATCCGTTATCCTTTTCTCGTTAATACATATAGATTGCGGTTACGATCTAAAATAGAAAGGAAATTTCTCGCCGATTTTCTTATAATATTATTATTCATATGTACAGTAGTACATCGCATGGCAAAGGTGACGCGAAATTGTTGCTTTCTAGTTGGTTTGCAAAGAATTGTGTCGCACCAATAGAAGATTAAACTTTATCAGCATGAGTATAAAGAGATGAAGAGAAAAAAAGAGTTCGGATTGGTATTAATAAGAATGGATCTGCTTTGTTATTCAAGTTAACATACAGCAAAACTTGATCACGGTATAATATCTTTTTCTTTAAAAAAAAATTGTTTAAAAAAATAATGTATAATTAAACTTCGAGTTCGAGTTAGCATTTTTTTATGTTCGAGATGATATAAACTCGAGTCCATTCGAAGCTTTAAATGTGTATATTTCAAGTGAATATATATGTATTAATTCAAGACCAGAACCATTCCAAGAGGTAATCATTGTGTGTATGTGTTGATGCAATTAATTACTTTGTTTTTTAATATATCAATCAATCATTATCATTCAGAACAAGCTCTCCATAGACGAGCAAAGGCATGAATAAAGATGCTATGTATAATATACTTAAAATAGAGGTTAAAATCTCATTTAAAATAGGGATCATTTTAAATAAATTACTTTTTGTCATCCGAGCTACAGTCATTATAAAAACGCGTTAAATAATAACATCGCTGCTGTTATATATATAAAAATATGCAATTCTCAAGTCCACTCGTATGTATAATCACGTGATTAAAAAGATCATTGACACATTGTAATTGATCTACATTACGCATGTGTTTCTTTTCTATCGGAATATCAGAAAAAAGGTAAATGGAAACAGTTTGGCCAAATTCACAAGCTCGATCTCAAATACAAAAGAATGAGTGGCAACGACAACCACCACCACAACAAAATCAGCGGAATCAAAATTGGACCAACGAGAAACAATGGCGATCGGATTGGCCTAATTCCTCCTCTCAGCAGCAACAAATGACATCAACTCAATATCATAAACAGCAACAAACACCATCATTATCAATAACAACAACAACAACAACAAAGGAAAAATCAAATGAAAATAATGATTCTAATGAACCTAAAAAAGATTTTGATATATCAACCGTTGACATAAAAGCTGCAGCGATGTCCTGGAATTCTTTTGCCAATCCTAACATAAAGGATAGAGATGATGGTTTGGGTTCAGGCCAATTACATCGTCAAGGAAAAAATTTTATTCCTGTTGATGAAGAGACTTTATTTGAAATACAGAATAGGAAAAATTATTATACGAAAAAATACAAAAAATTCACTCCCCCTCCCGCCCCCCCCCCCCCCCCCCCCCCCTAGTATTTTTGTGACCCTCATCCCTTTTTTTACCACAACACCTCT